GGGGGCTCCAGGCAGACTCGCCCCGTCCTCACCTCGGGGATGTTGTCCTCGATGATGCGCAGCACGACCAGCATGCAGCTCCGCTGGTTCAGCACCACGTCGATGCTCTGCGACACCAAATCTAAAGCGGAGAGGGAGGTAAAAACGAGGGGTGAGGTGTCGCCCGTCGCCTGTCACAGCCCCCTCTCGCCCTCTCGTGTCAGCGAAAAACACTTACCGGGGTCGACGCGGAGGCTTTTGAGGTCCAACGCCCGCTGCGAACCATCGTATCTCTTGCTCATGCAGAGCTGGGACAACGCCACGAGGATGAGGAGGAGCGGGGAAGCCTCTGCCTCTTCCCCTCCGCCCAGAACCCGCAACCGCTCTCCCCGCTCACCTTCAATTGCTCAATCTCCTCCGGTTTCAGCTCGTTCTGCAAGGACTGAGGCGGAGCCGACGAATTGATAATTATCACCACCTACGACGAAAAGGACGGAGAGGATCCGTGAGGCGGAGCGCGTCGGCAACAAACGCGCCCACGCAGAGCCGGGGAGGAACCGGCTTTGGCGATGAGGGATTGAGCTGCGGACCTTGTAGTTGTCCCTGTCGGTGATCTTGCGGGAGACTTGTTTGAGGGCGCTGGCAGTGGTGGCATCCTCCACGTAGAACTGGGCTCGGTTGTGGTCGTAGTGGAACTGAAAAGAAAACGGTTTGGGATCCGCGCGGCAACTCCCGCAGAGCTGGAGCACCCCCCGATCTCCTGGGAGGTGTTTTTCCCCCCACTCCAGGCCGGCCAGAACGCCCAAAACCCAGGAAAAACCCCCAAAAAACGGGCATCTAGGCGCTGACTTACCTCAACAGGAGTGAAGGGGACGCTGCAAAGGTTCTGGATGGAACTCAGCAACCACGATTTGTCGTATTTTTTCCCGTACGGGATCTAAAAAGACAATTTGCTTGACGTCGGGGTGCGGGAAGGGCTGGCGACGACTGTCGCAGCTCTGCCCGTGCGCGTCACGGCTGCGGCAGGACGCGGCTGCCTTCTGCGTGCGGCCAGGGAGAGAAAAGAGGGAAAGGAAAGAGAAAAGGGAATGGAATTATAGACTCGCAGGATGGTTTGGGTTGGAAGGGAACTGAAAGATCACCTAATTCCATCCCCCTGCCGTGGGAAGGGACACCCTCCACTAGCCCAGGTTGCCCAACCTGACCTCGAACACTTCCAGGGAGCCAGGGGCAGCCACAATTTCTCCGGCCAACCCGTTTCCGTGCCTCGTGGTGAAGAATTTCTCCCTAATATTTCATCTCAATCTCCCCTCCTTCAGCTTAAAGCCGTTCCCCTTGTCCTGTCGCTCCACGATCTCGTCAACGGTCCCTCTCCATCTTTCCTGCAGCGCGTTTTAGGGACCGGAAGATGCTCTAAGGTCTCCCCGGAGCCTTTTCTTCTCCACGCTGAACAACCCCAACGCTCTCAGGGTTATTCCCAACCCGTTCTCCGCACAGCATCTACTCGGGATAGCGCCGACCCTCACGCTCGGACGCCAAGCGTCCAGCCGGTTTCTTATCCGTCCGTCAAATCCACGTCTCTCCGATTTAGAGACGAGGATGTCGAGCGGGACGGCATCAAAACGCTTCGTGGGAAGCCAGGGAGACGACATCGGGCGCCCTTCCCTTGCCCACCAACGCCGTAACCGTGGCGTAGAAAGCCACCGAATCTGTCAGGCACGATTTGCCCTTAGCAAAATCGCCTTGGCCGTCGCCGGTCACCTCCTTATTTTCCATAATTTCCAGGAGAATCTGCTCCGTGATCTTGCCAGGCACAGAGTCGAGACCTATCGGCCCGTAATTCCCGGGTTTTTTTCCACTTTTTTCCCTTTTTAAGCCTACGTAGATGGTTTCTGAAAGTAGGCAAGTAGTTTTTAACGAGGATAAGCCCTTCACCTCGCATCTGGCAACCGACAGGGACGCGTCGCCGAAGTAAACTTTGAAGTAGACGTCCAAAAATGCAAAAACAACCCCCAAAAAATGTGAAAATAGGTACTTTCATCCTCCCTGAAGTGTCTCTCTAAAGAGTCCCCGTTTCAGACGGGATTTGAGTTACAGTAACGTTAAACATCCACCAGACGTTTCTCTAGACCGACAGCAGCGTACAAGGACGCTCCTTTCCGCACATCTCAATCCTCGGTTGAAATCCTAAAGATTTCCTTTAAGGACAAAAAATCCAAAGAGCTCCAAGAAGATTTTTAAATCGAGCAGAGCAAATAAAAAGCAAGTAAACTTCTGAGGCGCTAACGAGGAGGAAAAGGTCTCTCGTTAAGTCCGCTAACCCCTCACAGAGCAAACAAGAGGCTTAAAAAGATTCCTGCAAAGAAATCGCGGACAGAAGATAAATCTGATAAGTCCAGCACGAGCAACTGACGAGCAAACGGCAGCGCTGACCCTTCTCCTGCTCCTCCGAGCTCTTCGCCGGCCGCGTGAAGAGGCAAAACCAAGGGCGATCGGATCCGCTCTGACAAGAAATCGTCCCCGGGAGATCCAAAACGATCGAGAAATCCATTTGAAATACGGATTCGCACGCGGCACCACGGATAACGAACCTCACCCAGATCAGGACTTTAGGAAACGTCGCTAAACCTTAACGACAGCAGCCTCTCGGTATGGTTGGTTTTTTTTTTTTAACTCAAAAACAAACCCAAAAAGCCACGTACGCGCAAAGAGATGTTCAAGCACCTTAATAACCTTTTCTGGGGCTCGCAGCACTCGAGCTGAGGCCGCGGCAACGCCCGACCGCTCCTCAAGAGAAGGACGGGGTGCCAACGACCGCGCTCGCCGTCCTCGCTCGGCCACGGCAGACGTACGGCGATCCCCGTTCCTGCCCCCCTCCCCAAAAAAAACCTGGGTGACGACAGCCGCGATTTCCCCCTCCCTGAGCCGCGTGCTTCACTCACGGTGATCTTGAACCAGTTCCTGCGTCCGCTGTCACGGCTGGTACCGCTGCTCCGCTCCGGGGCGGGAGGATCTCGTCTGACCGTGATGTGGATGTTGGTCGTGCGGTTCGGTCGCGGCCCGTAGGGCAAACTGGAAACAACGAGGTGAGATGTAGGAGAGCGACAGGGAACCCCAAACCACCCCACCCCACCCCCCAGCAAGACCCCAAGACGATTTCACGGGGTTCGGCCATCCCCACTCACTATCGGCCGCGGGGCCCGCCGTGCGCCTCGCTCATAGGGACGCTTTTCATCCTCCTCCAGCCGCGCACGAAGGCCGGGGCTGTTACGGCTACGGGAGCGGTGGTTCATCTCGCTGTACATCTTCCCTCGGAACGGCCCGCGACCTTTCTTCCTGCGGCCTGAGAAGCTTCGGCCGCCCACCCGGTCATCGTGTTCT